TTCTAATTATGGGAGCTTTTGGAAGAGGGTGAGGGTCAACGCGAAGTGGTGGGTGGAGAGAGAGGGTCTTAGGGAGTGCATTATGGCTTAGTGTAGGTGCATCATTGTGTCCAGCTTTCACTTCACCAACCGTTTATTAGACCTAAATGACAAGGAGAGCCCCATTTCTATTTAACAAATTCCTTGGTTCTAACTCCAAAGGATTAGGGGCCCTAACCTATATCATGCACAACGAGTAAAGAAACTACCAAAGAGAGAGAGGGGAGAGGAGACCTTTTTTTTTTTTTTGTGTAATGTTAATAACTAACCTGATATAGATTTGGCAGGTTTTGGTGGTCGGTTGATATTTAAAAAAAAAAATTAGAAAAAATATATAAAATCTCAAAAAATTAGATATTTGTTTATAATATGTTTTTTAATGTTTTTATTTTTATCATTTTTGACAAAGGTTAGAGAGTATTTTCGTCATGAATATTTATTTTATATTTTTCCATTTTTTTAAAAAAATTTTTTGTCCTGAACACAAATCAATTTTCTAAAATACTTTTTTCATTACTTGTCAACTTCAATAGGATGTATTTTGTTTAATCATGCTTTAACTATATTTTTTCATAATTTTTGTATTTTTTTAATACTTGTTCGACTAGCTAAGACCTACTCGGTTAGACGAGTTGAACAAGCCAATTTACTCAAACCCAGCCCTCGGCATGCCGGTTTCTGAGGCCAGGTTGATTTAGCGAACACGGATGTATGATAAGTTAAGAGAGAGAGATTATGATAAGTTAATCATGGAGAGTGAGAGGGAGCGGGAGATTATAAGTGTGGTAAGTGAAAAGGAGAGAGAGAGATAGGTCATTCAAGAGATAAGAAAGTATAGTTTTGTCATATTTAAAAAGAATGATATATTTCTTATCCGCCGCATTTTGGGTCTTATCGGCTTGAAGTTAGCCTTATCTCAATACATGCTTTCCCTAAATATTGCTTAATAAATATTTAAATCCTTTTAAAAACTATCACTACTTAACCTTGACTCTTAAGTGTCAAAATAGACATCACCTCATGGAATCTCTCTCTCACTTATTATACACAGAAGTAGTTTCCATTATATCCCTAGCTGACGAATATTTTTTGAGCTTTTCATATCAATGCGCAACTATTTTGACATTGTTTTATTAGGGAAATTATTTCTAAGCATCATTAAAACGAGCAATTTATGGCATTATTAAAATATATTATGTTTTTAGGTACATGGACACGTGGCATAATAGCAGTCGTCCAAATAACAAACAGAGAGGAAGCTTGTACTCGATTCTAATTTCTTGACTTGGAATCTTGTCACCAAACACACGATAGATCAAAAAATAAAAAATATAAAAAGTTCCAACACCCTTTCTTTCTACACAAATTTTAATGCAGACCCATTCTGAAGAGAAAAAAGTTTATACAAGATTGCAACCTTAAGTTATGGAAGTAAGGTGCATCTTAAAACTCTAGTAGAAAAATAGTGTTTTGAAGTTGAAAAACTTTCTAATTGATCATCTCGACCTCAAGATGTATGGATATAAAGAAAAAAAAAAATTTTTAATGCTAAAAATAATAGAACTTGTAAAAAGTTATAAGCATCACCTATGACTTTCAAGTATTTATAGATCTTTTTTATTTTTACCGTTTTTTAAATTTTAAATTTCATGACATGAGTTTTAAAGCATTGTAAGTTTTTAACACCATAAACACAGATTTTGAAAAAAATTAGAGGTACACTTTACTTACACCTTATACAAATCTCACCCTTTCGAAAAATGACTTGACATAATTTTGCATTACCAAGATTGGGCTAGCCACCGAATCATTATGTGGTTAGCTATCGGCAAAACTAAACCTAGTCCAATCGCCGGTTGAGGTGGTTAAATAAAATAAAAAATATATAAATAATAAATTTACATATGGGTGTGGTTTCTATAAGGTTGCAACCTTAAACAATCTAATTAAGGCGCACCTCCAAATTTTATCATAACATGTAATTTTGGTGCAAAAGATTTTTGAATTATATGGAAATCTATTTTCATGTCCAATTCTAAAATTTTAAAAATAAAAAACGATTAAAATCAAGTAGATTTATAAACATATGAAAATCATGAAAATGGACGGTCTAGATAATGTGTTGCAAGATGCATTATTTCTAGGACTCGAAATCTTTTACTTTTTTATATTCATATATCTTGATGTCGAGATGATCAATTAGAGTTTTTTTTAATATTAAAACAACTTTTTTCAATAGAATTTTGAGGTACATCTTTAATTCTACATTTTAATGTTGCAACCTTATTTAAACTTTTTTCTTTAAATATAATATATAATGAAAAATGACCCCAATAAACCCAAATGAACAAAACTGTACAAATATTGATACTGACAAGCTTTGGCCCAAACTTATCGATTCGCACCCACCAAATTGAATCTCTAATTCGGTCTTCATAACTTTGAATAAAAAAATATAAAAAACATTCCTACAAAATGTCACTCCATGAGGATATGCCCCCACTCTCTTTTCACTAGATTCTGATGAACAGTTACCAAAATGACCCGGGACTAATTTTTCACAAATTACGAAGATGCCCTTGGGACGCGGCATCTTTTGCTCGGGAACTCGTGAAACTGCACGTCACGGAGAGTCTTTATATGCGATCGGAATCACAATCGGTTTTTACAGAACGATCGCTTCTTTCTAGAATGTTCTTTTGGGGATCTGTGTCATTTGCTTTGAAGACATTCTCTGCTTCCTTGTTTTTGCTTTTCCTTTTTCCAGGGCTTGGGTTTTGCCTCACTTTTTTGCCGTAATTTGCTTAGTTTCTAACCTCAACTTAGACTAATCAGCCCCTAATTATCAGCCTCTCTTCTTTCTTTTTTTTTTGTTATTTATCAAACTTAATCAAGTTTTTTAAAATGGAGATACAAACCATAGTATGAATGTATCACTGAATATCCAAATTCAATCGGGTTTAGCGGTGATTTGAATTTTGTAGTAAATGTATTGACCTAGTTCCTTCATTCGATCCGCCTTGAGGGATTCGCCTGTGTTCCATTAGGGAATTTTGTGGTCTGGATCAGTCGAATCACCCAATTCAACCCATTATATATATTTTTTTTTATTTTTTTTACAATTTGTTTATTTTTATGGACCAATTTTAACACCGAATAATATGTCTGATTCGCCAATCTGGATTGGCGATTTTCTCATCTGAACCCGATTTTTGAAAAGCTAGTGTGGTTTTTGGAACATTGGTTTGAATATACAAATCTGATTATACCCTATGAGACTATTTATCTTTCTTATAAGGAGGTCACAATAACTCTTTTCCATTAGATGTCTAATTGAATGGTTTAGGATGTGTCACAAAGTACAAAAAACTTTTGTTTGACTTCGAACTTTAAGTATAGTTAATGACATGCTTGACAACCACCAAATTTGAAATATGAAAGACAAGAGTAATTATAGCCTCCTTAAGCTAAAATTCTTAGACAAAAACATCCAAATATACATCAAAATTTGATAAGGTTTTTTGGGGTCGGCATAAAGCCTAAAGAGGAGCTGCACCCATGTAAGGACTAGGCTCTCCTATCGGAGAAGCGGCCAAAGAGCCAGACTCAAATCCGCATATGCTCTAGTGAATATGAAAATTGAAACTAAAAAAATAATACAAATTTGGCCGCTTAATAAACAATTAAAAACATATAACCTATAGAATGTGTTTCAGATATATTATTTTTAAGACCTGAAATCGTTGTTCTTTTGTATCGATGATCATTTGATGAATTTACAATGCACCAATTAGAATTGCCACACAAAAACCGAGGGAGCCCTTCGATTTTTATCGTAAAGTCTAGGTATTATGCTAATTTTTTTTTTTTTTTTTAAGGTAGTTCAGTGGTAGGAATCAAACTTGAGGCATAAAATACTATAATAAGATAATATGTGGTACTAAAAAATTAGTAAATAGTTGGGTTAAGCCATTGAAAAGGGCAAAACTGGTCGTTAAAGCTTAATTAAGATGAGATTAAGACAGCCAAAACAAGAAAAGGAAAAAGAAATAAAGAATTCATGGGCAAATGATTTGAAGGAATGGGTATGGCCTCTTTAAAAAGCTTTTAAAGATCTGGATGAACACCTCTTTTTGACTGGTTATGCTCTCTGATTAAACCCTAAAAAAAAAAAACTAACATTCAAAAAAACGCTTTGTTTTATACCCAAGACCAGGCCTCTGTATTTTTTTTCCCTTTTTCTTTTGCTTAACCTTGATCACTGTGTGATTGTTTCGCCATTGCAATGATACGAGTGACGCCATGGCCATGGCCCATTTGGAAAGTAAAAGCTTAGTTTCCATTCGCTTTCTAAGCTACAGTCTCTGCAACATCTTGCCCATCTCTGCTTTCTTTTTCAATTATTTACTCCTTAGATTTACAGACAAAGCGTGTGGAGATCGATCTGGTATATCTCCTTGCCTTAATCTTTACCTTTTGCTTTATTCTTGCTACATTTCGAAGTTTCCTCTTTTTTATTTCCCTCTCTTCTGGTACCGAGATCCATGGAAAAACGAAATAGAGGAGTTTTTTAAAAATTTCGAGTGGATTGAAGCAGAGGGGGCTCTGATCTTGAAGAAAAGTGGCTTTAAATGGAAATCAATGGTGAATTCATTGAAACTGAGCTGAATCAGACTCCCTTTTTTTTTTCAAATTTTGGAGTAAATTGGACAAGAGACAAGACGGTCCATTAACTTCACTGTGGTTAACATCACTGACTCCACTTTACTTCTGGCATGGCAGTTTACTTGAATTTCAAGTAAATTTGAAACAGACTCTCTCTCTCTTTCGATCTGATGTCATGAATTAAAACACTGAAAACGATATATCTAATCACCTGCAGTTATTTCACTGAATCAGACGCCATTGCAATTCTCTTGGATCAAGAGTTTCGGATTTCAAAATTTCGAGAACCAGAGAACATATACCCTGAATAAACCCTTAAAAAACAACATATTTACAGTAAGTTCATGGAATTATACCCCAAATTCATACTCCATTTTTATTCTCCTTGAACTCCAAACCAGTAAAAAAAAAGGAAGATTAACCGAAAAACGCAAAAAAGATGAGAGAGAAAATAAGAGAGGAACTCATCATAGTAATCAATAGGATTTAGAGAAGGAATCCTTTTGCAATGGCCTGGTTCGTTCCTAAATCAGTCGTCTCATAAACTGGAAGCTCCTTCTGATATCGATCGATTCCAACGGCCGCCAAATTCTCGAGCTCGAAGAGATCAGAGCTCGAACAGCTCTCTGTATCATCATCTTCTTCCTCTTCTAACCCTAATTCTCTCTCTCTGGAATCCACAAAATCCCTCATTATAACCTCTTTTATGATCTCACTCTTCTTCTGATACTCGTTGAACAGCTCCTTCCCCGCCTCCACCTTTTGGCTCTTTTCCATGAAATGGAGCTTCAGCTTCTCATGAAACGGCACCCTAAAGGCGTCGCTCTCCGTTAGCTCGGGCGCCTCACCAGGCACATAAAACTTGACGGACCTCCTAACGGTGGCTGATGTCGTGAGCTCCGCCGTCTCCTCTGGCATGTAAAAACGGACGGAACGCCTGACGCCGTTAGGCCCGGACTTGCCTCTACTCGACGGTGTTTTACTGAGACACGACCTCGAATAAGAGGAGGCGGAGGAGCAAGTAGACGAGGAAGGCAGAGGTGGCGGCTTGTTCTCGCAAGCGCGGAAATCGGTCTCCACGCGTGCGAGCTTCGCCTTCTTTGCCTTTTCGGCGGAGGAAAACAGCGAGTTTAAGAAACTCGCAAGCCGATTCCCGGGAGAAATCGGCTGCTTCACCTTCTTGAAATCGCCATAGAGCTTCGACGCCCGAGACTTGATGGCCTTCTTCTCAGCGACTTCTTCTTTTGAGACGCCGAGGAATTGGGTGGATGGTGACTTGCTGGACTTCCGACTCGATGGGTCGGATCGGCGGCTCCAAGCTGACTCGGCCTCGGAGGAGGAGAACCCATAGTTTGTCGCGCTATCACTCGTATCCGAAGAAGAGGAGATGTTGTTATGGTGGTCTCTTCCGTAGAGGAGGGTTTCGTAGTAGTGCTCCGCCTCGAATACTCCGAGTTGGGTGGCTTTCCGGCGGGGCTTCGTCTTCTCCACTCTTTTTTCGACGATTTTCTCGGCTTTGTGGCTCCGCTTCACCGCAGATTGGTGGACATTCGCAGGCTCAAAGAAGGACTGGTTTATGTGGGGTTTAATGGCGTTCTTGTAGAAGACGAGGTGCTGGTCTTCTTCTGTGGATTTGTAGATGGCGTCCAAGAGGGCGGAGGAGAAGGAGGGGTTCCTGTTCCGGTGGGCATGTCGACTTTCTCTCTCTAGCTTTTCAGAGTAAGACCACCTGTCCATTTTGCAGAGGCCCCAAAAATGGCCTTCCTAGCGAGAGAAAACAGCAGTTAGGAAGAGGATTCACAGCTGGTTGGGTTTGATCGAATTGGGGTAGTGCGAGAAAGCCGGTTTTGTGTATGTTAAACGTCTGAAGACTGAGAAAAAAATGGCAGTTTTTCAACAAAGGCAAGAGTCTAGTGAGAGGAGCCTGTGCCCAAACAGACACAGGATAGATGCTTCGATTCTGTGAGTTTTGGGGTAATGGGTTAGAGAGAGAAAACCAGTACAGGCCAGCCGCTATATATAGATGTCAAAGAGAGATAAAATACGAGACAGAAGCTAGAGAGAGAAAATGGACACCAGAAGGGAGAGTTATTGTAATGTGTGTGTTTCCTTCTTTGTCGGGTACAGGACGATCAAAAGCTGCGGAGAGGTGGCGATTGGTAGGCGGAGGAGATGAGTCCGATCCCGTGAAGAAGGGCAGACATTGTCGAGGTACGTTCGTGTGGTTTAAGAAATGCGGGCGTGATTTCGATTTTCTACTCTTTTTTCTTTCTCGCAGAGCTCAGAGCAATCAATGGGGGCTAGAGAGAGAGAGAGAGAGAGAGAGAGAAGGGGCAGTTGTAACAGGACAGAGAGGATGGGATGGGGGGAGTGTATAGAGAGAAAGCCGGGGGAGTGTATAGAGAGTTGGCAGTGGAGGAAGAGTTTTATTTCTGGAGAGAGAGGGAGGCTTTTTTTTTTAGAGAGAGAAAGAGAGGCTTTTGTTAGAGAGAGAGAGAGAGTTATGGGGGCTGGAGAGTGAGGAGAGTTTATGATGGAAGGGGGGGGTTTGGGGTAGAGAGAGAAAGAGGGATTTGGGGGGGGGGCGGGGTGTAATGAAAGAGAGAGAGAGCACGCTTGGGTTTCCTTTTAAGGAGGAGAGTGGTCATGCGCGCCTGAAGCAGACAGGTAGAGAGGCGCCAGCGTGGCTTCAAGTTGCTCGTTGCTCGTTGCTCGTTGCTCCATGACAGGGCGGCTTACTTTTGGTAAGTTCCCTACTACGCTTCCCACTCTAGAGAGAGAGTGTGTGCTATAAATACCTTACCTTCCCATCCCTCTTTCTTTTTCTCCATTTTACTTTTTCTCTCTCCTCCTTTTTCTCTCTCTACTCCTGTCTCACATGTTCCGTGCCCAGTTAAAATACCCCCTCACTAACTTTCTCTCTCTCCTCCTGTGTAAGTCGTTGTAACTCTGTGATCTACGTGTGTACCTGTACTCTCTCTCCTTTTTCTTTGTACGCTCTCTCTCTCTCTAGGTGTACTCTCTCCTTTCCTTTGTATGCTCTCTCTCTCTCTAGCTGCTCTCTCTCCCTTTTCTTTGTATTCTCTATCTCTCTCTCTCTCTTCCTGTGTGTTGCCATTGCCCGATATTTCGACTCCAGGTTCATGCCAAAACAGGCTTCATTTCCCTTCTCTCTCTACGTTCATCTAAATCGGGCTTCTTTCCTCTCTCTCTCTCTCTCTCTAAAATGGTATTTCATATGGTGGAAATTTTTGCTAGTTTGATGTACTTTTTCCTAACTTTGGCTTCAAGCCATATTTTTCGTACTCCTCTCCATCAATTCTTAAGACTATCAGCACTACTCCTAATTATAAAGAATTGCATGCACCAGATCTTTAATTTGGGTTTTTTTATGGAATATTACTGGGAATTATTAAGTTAATCAACAATCTTTAATAAAAAGAAACAAATTATCCTGCCCATATATTTGGAATGATTTTTTTATGGTATTTTTGGAATCTAATTTTCTATGTAACTTATACCCTTCATCTACACAAATTTATGGCACATAATTTTATTTTGAATTGAACATAAATTTATTTTACAAAATTAATACAAAGTGGAAATAAAAGGAAAAAAACAGCTATCTTTTCATTGGGGTTTCAAGAAAAAGTGATATTTGTCACTATTATTAGAAACATACGCCTAATTTTGATCTATACTTTCCGCCCATGTTTGAAAATGAAATGAGACTAGTGGCCAAAATATTACTAACTCCCAAAGTTGGCCGATATCTAAAAGGACTTTTTACAAAATTTCGAAGAAAATTTGGCATTTTTTTTAGAATTAAAGGTCCTAAATTTCGTTGAAATTTTGCTCAATTTAACTTTTTGATTTCGTCCAACTAAACTTTAAGGCCACGTTGTACGAAGTTGCACCTCAAATATCACCGGAAAAATGCAGTTCTTGTGTATGAAAGCTTCCAAATTTGTAGGGAGGGGGTCGCGGTAACACCCATTTACCCCGTCATAGTATCCATTCCTACCGTACCATTTCTACCGCTGACCTCCTCAATTAACACATTCAAAATGCAATTCTTTAATTTATTGAAGAAATAGGTAAGGACCTGTCTTCTCCACTAAATTATCTAAAAAAAAAAACCTTCCAAATTAGTGGTCTCGACCTAGATAATGGATCAGGAAAAAAAACAGGATTTCAAAAAAAAAAAACAAACCTCCCAAATTGGTGGTCTCGACCTAGATAATGGATCAGGAAAAAAAACAGGATTTCAAAAAAAAAAACAAACCTTCCAAATTGGTGGTCTCGACCTAGATAATGGATCAGGAAAAAAAAAAACAGGATTTCAAAGTTTGAAAATAATCTATCTTGTAACGCATTTTTTGAACCACCCATTTCAAGTTTTCATGGATCATCAGTATTTTTTACACATTTTGGAGCTTTAAATTCTATAATCAAAGGGAACTTCAAATTCTGTAATGAAAGGGAAAAATAAACTTTGAAGCTGTTAGAAGGATTTTTGGCATTAGAATTGCATTCAAGATGGTATTTTAAAGTGCCGCTTTACCAAATATCGGTCAAGTTTGTATATAATGAGAACATTTATCTTATTTTACAAAAAGGTCACAATTACTTCTAGCCATTAGATATCGAATTGGATGACTTGCGGTGTGTTACAGAAGTCGATAAATTTTTTTTTAACTATGATTGTAGTCAATGACTCACTCATAACCAATAAGGACAAAAAAGATTGTGACCTCTCGTGTTAAAAATAAATGGTCTATTTGTAGTATACATTTCAATATGATAAATCACCATCTATACCCAAAAAAAAAAAATGCACCCTTCAATTGCCCGACTAATTAGGCTTTTCTTTTCTTGTTTTATGGCGTACTGCACGCATTTTCGTGAGGGAATTTATTATTACATCTTTCAAATTTCAGGTGCCAAATCTTCTTGAAATTCAACGGTTACATCATTTTCATCTGTTTTTGGTACACTGAATTTTCAATCATGGAGTTAGGCCTAATTTAGTACATGGTATGACATATGGGGGTTTTCCCCCAAGTTTTCAGCTATTCCATAAAATTTGTGGTTGTTTTGGTGATAGATTTCCTCTTTCAATTTGACCATGAGGGCACTCTAAGTCCCACGGCATGAACACAGAAGGGATTGTATATTTTTTGGCATAAGGTCATTGTCACTTTTAGCTATTATCAGTGAAATTTGATAGACTGGACACAAAAAAAAATATTCTAAAATTTTTATTGGGGAATATGAACCCAGTCAGTGATACACCTCCATCCAACCAATTTCAGATCCAACAACTCAAGGTGACTGTAACCTCCTGGTCGCAAAATTAAATGGCCTTTGTACATATTACATTATATGCTAGGTGTAGGAGAAACTATAGTATGGAGCCTGGTCTACTGGACATAGATTAATTTGAGAGAAAGTATTTGGTGAGTTGCCCAATTTGTGCAATCACTTTGTTTTTTTAGGGATTTGGGACTCAAAACACTTCCTAGATTATTGTAAATCTATTCTTGCATGGATTTATGAGTTTAAATCTCCAAAAATAGCAAATGTGATGTTGTTTAAAGAACTAAAATAAACTATCCAAGAGTACAAAACAAAATAGACTTTATTAATGATTTACATGAAAGACCTATAAGATATTGGATCCTAGTCAAAATCCAAGATAAAGTTTGGGATGGTAGACTCAATGTAACAAGAGCGTTTCAGGTCCCACCTGAACCCTACCATTATTTACTGGAGCTCTAGTTGACTCCAAAATATTGATTTCTAAAATAGACTGACTTATTTTTTGCTTCCTTTACAAAATATTTTTTCAAAAATGGTTTTTAATACATACTGTCGATATCTTTTATGAAAGATGATTATTGGGCCAGATTTTTTTTCTATATTTTTTAAAGATTTTTTTTGCAAAATTACTAAATTTTCACCTGAGAACAATTATAGGCCTTGATGGTTCAACCTCGAGGTAATGAGTTGTAAACCATTTTCCCAAGGAAGAAAAATGATTTGCCCTCAAGGCTTTAACACTTTTGGATGATCAAATGTGCGCCCTTAAGTTATGATTAATTTGCTATTATTGCACTCTTTAAGTGTCAAAAAATTATTATTTGATTAAAAAATTGATTGGCAATAAGGAATTGAGGATAGAGGCGCCCTGTTTTTTCGACATAATGAAAAAAAGACATAGGCGCCTTCTATATAATCCTTCTCGAAAAACACCCATGTCCGCGTCATCATAATCTAACCAACTATCAAGTGGTTGAGGAGCATAGTCCAGTTAAAATTAATCTGATTATTTTTCTTTCTCAAACTAGTTGAACTAGATTTTAAAAAAAATAAAGAAAAGATAATAATAGCTTTAAAAAATGGGATATACAAAAGACTTTGACTGGTGTGATTAACCAAAGCAAGCCAAATCTTGTTTTTGATTTATTTATTAACCAAATATGGTTTTCTTTCTTTAAACCAAACTGGCCCAAACACCAATAGATAGCCTGACAAGTTGGAAGAGCCAATCCTTTCTAGTAGGCAGTTCAATTAGTTGGAATAAGCTAATCTGGTCTTGTTATGATAATCAAGCTATTAACAAAGTGCCTTGTGAATTAACATGCATAAAACTCTTTACTCTCTTTTTTTCCTTTTTTTTTGGTTGGGGCAAGTCAGTAGGAGATAAAGCCTCCTACCCGTTTTTCATTAAATAAAAATAAAACTCTCTATTTGACAAAAGAAAAATATACTATTTACAATTACAAGTTTCGCCAACAACCGTATGATTAAACCAGCCACTTAGCACGTTGATTATGCACACTCAATTTAGAAGTGGAAAAGAGTTTAATTCTCAACTTTACCTCCTCAAATGAAATTAGAAATTTGAATCAGCCATTTCTTCGTTTTCCTGTGCTTTTTTTCTCTTTTCTTTACGCTTTTGCTTTTTCTTTTATGTTTTCCCAAAATTCCTAGGAGCCATTTTTTGGGTCCCATGGATTCAAACCAAAAATCTTGATCTAATTAAGGCTTCTAGGGAAGATTAAAGCACAAGAACCTTCTCTTTGGCCAAAGATAATCATTTCAATTTGAATGCAGAAATTTTAATTCTTTTTCTTTTTAGGTTATTATGGTTAGATTCAAACCCAATATAATAGGGATCCTGTCCTCACCTAGGACAAAAAGCCAAGACCCTGAATGAATTCTTAGTGTCTAACTTAGAATTGTACTTCACTTTCTAGAGTGCTAAAATAGGCTACACCACAATACTCTTTTAAGAGCTCTACGTGTGGGTCTGAGTCTTAGCCCACTGCATCCTAGACTGAATCTAGACCCTAGTTAGCTATATGTGTAAAGGCAACACTCAGACAAGGAAGCGATAAGAGGGCCTTGTGGAGAATGTGATCAGAAATCCATAATAGAGTCCGACTACAACCACAAAATCTACACGCATACGGTGTTTCT